AAAAAAAAAAAAAAAAAGGCAAGGGGACCTGGAGGGAGATCCCACTATAGGGCGTGTGACCCTTCGGCGCCGTTGATGAGAACGGTGATCAGTGGTGTTGTTTTTTCTTGGTTTTCGGCGTGGGGAAACATCTGACTTTTGGGGGGGCTCCCATTGGGTGGCATTTCTTTTGCTTTTGTTGTGGTGCCCCTCTGGGGGTCATGAACGTGCGTGAAAATCATACCAACTTTTTTTGGTTGGATTTTCACGCACCTTCCACTTACGTTTGCGTCGTTGCCAATGCGTTCAAAAGAGGCCGAAAATGAAAATGAAAATGTTCCCCTTTTCTCATCATGAAGGGATGTCAGTTGATGTCAGTCTTCCACAACTTGTCTGTCATTCCAAGCCTCTCGTTGGGGAGCGTTAACAAATGTGTGTTGGCCTCATGTACATGGTCCATGAACCGTCCACATGCACAACATACCAGCGGAATCATCAGAAGATCCACAACCTGACAGCTGACTGACCGCAGTTCGCGGCGGGTGGACAACATTGCGTTGTCAGAATTGCAGCATTTTGTTCTTTTTCAACATTTATCGCGGAGTAAAGGATGCCACACGTCCCGCAACTGTCACACTACTCCACACACATCGTTAGTGGGATCTCCCTCCCGGGCCACTCTGGTAGCCTAGCTTGGTGAGGGGGGGGGGGGGAGGGGAAAGAGAAGAACAAAAAAAGAAAAGAACTCTGTCAAACCCCAGCCAGAGAACCAACATGCTCAGAGTCTTTCAGTTGGCAATCATCTTTCTTTGACAGACCAACGTCCACTCCCTCTCTCATCCCTCTGGGTATCAGGACCGACTGGTCGATAACTCTTTCAAAGTGTTCAGAACCAACATCTGTAGTGCGGACATCCTCCCAAACATGATACAGAATAAGGGCGAGATCGAACAGGCAAAGAGGATTGTAGTAAGTGTCTGAATGTGGACATGTTCGAGGACAGGTGCAAAACCTTGTGATTGATCTACTTTTCTGCAACTCTGGGTGGAACACATCCAGATTCAGACACTTCTTGGGATCCTCTTTGCCAGTGGGATCTGGGGCAAAGTGTGCGGAACCAATATCTTGTACTAGTGCCGAACATCCTCCCAAACATGGGGAACAAAACTCTCTAAAAAAAAAATCCGTGGCTAGAACATGGAAATATACACTGCCACAACATGGAAATATACACTGCCACAACATGGAAATCTACACTGCCAAAGACCTAAAATGTGGCGTTGTATATTTCCATGTTCTAGTGACAGATTCATTCCCATTTGCTCATCCTATGGATGAGAGAGAGAGAGAGAGAGAGAGAGAGAGAGAGAGAGAGAGAGAGAGAGAGAGAGAGAGAAGAGAACAGGTAAGTCTCCAACCTCGCGGCTGACCTCATGGTACTTCCATCGATAGAATGAGCAAAATCAAATGAATATACCCTTGGAACATGGAAACATACACTGTCACGCGTGTGTGTGTGTGTATGCATTCCGACAACAACGTGCCCAGGTGGAAAAACTTCCGTGTGATGCGCAGCTGTTTTTGAATTTCCCACGCGCGTACGGAGTTTCTGGGATGAAAGCAAGGCGCACGGCCGTACTTCCCCCGCGTCCACGCACTTCCACCACGCCGCACCGCTGTTCAAACTCACACGACCGGGAAAAACGAAAAACTACATTCTGAGCAAGTTTCCCTTGGGCCCGCACGCACCACCGTTCCAACTCGCGCGAGCGGGAAATAAAATTAAAAAAAACTGCATTCCGTGCAAGTTCCCCTTGGGCCCGCACGTTGTCGGCCACCAATTTCCCAACATCGCGCCCCCAGGTTCACAGCCGCGTCCCGCAAGACCCGCTATTCCCTTTATTATAGAGTAAGTATCAATATAGAAAAAGAAAGAAAGAACGAACCTGCACGGGTCCTAATCCATTATTAGCGACAGTACCGACTGTACCGACGAAAATCAAACGAGCACCAGGCAGGAGCGTCCAAAGATCCAAACAAGCAATTCAAAGTTCAAGTTCAAACAAGCAATCAGCGCGAAACATCAGAGCAGGACAATAATAGAAACAACTGTTTCGAGAAGTATCGCGGCAAGTATAGTATAGCGGTCACCCCCTGTATGGCCAAAAATATACCTGGAAACTTGCAGAAATACCCTTTTGCTAAGTTAGGAAGAGGCAGATTTATCCGAGGGAACCATCTTTGCTAACAGAGACACCGTCAGGAAAGTTGCAGAAATACCCTGTTCACAAAGTTTTCGAAGCAGATTTACGGGCCAGTACGGTCTTTCCTGACAGAGACCCCGTCCGCCTGGCCTCAGGCAAGCAGCACTACAGGGCAGGTGGGGGTCCTCTGTTGCAAGAGGAGGAGGAGGAGGAGGTACCGCTCGCTTGCTCGCTTGGTATTTTCTTGCTACGATATCTCTGAACCGGTATATCTGCAATTTGCCCAAATGAATTTTAAACCACCAGTACTTGGCCCA